AACCACATGGCTGAAAGCCCTCGCCTTCAGTATTGTTAACCGTAACAATCATTCAGTTGATGAGAGCCCTATGCCCTCCTCCAACCCTCATTATCTGGTTCCTTTTCTCGAGATGTATCTGTACAAAGATGGTAATATTCCTAATATAGATGCTATGCCTTGCCCGCGAATCCTTGCGACTCACCTACCTTATCAATTCCTTCCAAGCACCATTTTGGATTGTTCCAACCGTCGAATCATCTACCTTTGCCGAAACCCTTTGGATGTATTCACCTCTTGGCTGCACTTTGTGCTGCAAAATGGTTTTGCATCAAGGCCATCGGCGTCTCTTGATGTACCTTTTGAAACATTTTGTCAGGGCATATACCCGTATGGTCCACTCTGGGACCATTGTTTGGGATATTGGAATGCAAGCTTGAAGGACCCTCAAAAAGTGTTGTTTTTGAAGTATAATGATAGCTGACTTCTTAGGTCATCCATTTTCAGCTGAGGAAGAGGAAGCAGGTTTGGTTGAAGAGATAGCAACGCTTTGCAGCTTCGAAAATCTTAAGAATTTTAACTGTAACAAAGAGGGGGAGATACAAACTGTTTTTAGAGCTAAGCATAATTCCTTTTTCAGGAAAGGAGAAGTCGGTGATTGGGTGAGTTTGGTTCCTCCATCCATGGCGAAACGACTCGAAAAACTGATGCAAGAAAAGTTGGGTGAATCAGGGTTGACACTGGATATCCATGGCAATTCTGTCTGAAGAAGATGAATGTTGGATAGGACGGATCCATGTTTCAACAGTTTTTCCTCAAAAAACAAAGAAAACAAAATAAAAGGCCTAACTCATTTACGTTCAAATTCCTAACTTTTGGATGTGTGATCTCACTTAATCCAAACAAGGATGTTTGTTTACACCACCCATTCGACTAATTCTTAATCATTAATTGTATTGGTTCACTGCAGACTAAAACCCCCAAAAAAAAAAAAACTTAATTCTTTTTTTTCCCCCTAAAGTGAGAAGGGTACTACTATCGGCAAACAAAAATTTGCGCACAATTCTATGAGCAAAATCATTATTTGATTGGTCCTCTCTCGAGGGTAGGAATAGTGGCTCCCACTTCTTCTAGACTTTTTCAATTTACGTAGAATTCAAACACAATTTACAAAACCATCTCCAGACTAGAAACCCCCAACAAGACTTAATGAGAAGAGTACTACCAGCATACAAAAGTTTGAGCACAATTCTAAGAGAAAATCATTAGCTCCATTTGAAGAAGTAAGAAAAAGAGTTAAACGAGTCAAAGTGGGAGTGAAATTTTTTATTGTACTCTAAATTGCTCAATTCCTTAGTTTGGAAAAGGCAATGCAAGTAATCTCAATTGGTCCACAAACTTTGCCATGAGTTAAAATTCTTCCCAAATAACTGGTACAATTTTGTAGCACCCACCATGTATTAACTTATTACAACTACAATAGAAAGTACATGTTAGTTTTTTCAAATTTGTACGTCTAGACATTATTATATTTTGAATTTTTGTGCTGTTGGCCGAATGTTGACTGTTAATAGCCACCGACATTGTAGCTGTCCCTGCCTCTTATCCGTAATGTGTCAGCTAGAAATGTTGGAAATGTTACATGTGCACAGATGTGTATGGTAAACATGGTGCAAAACAGAACATTTCCATCAAATTTAATGAAAGGTAAAGGATACTAACGCACAGCAATAAGCAACAATAACTTAAAGATCTTGAGGGTGGGAGCTTCAATCTTGATCTGTATTAGGGCATTTGTTTTATATTCTTAATTTTGCAGTTAGAACTTTTGAGCTTGAATTTCCAAAGGTGGCGGGATGGCAGAGAGAAATGCCCAGATGAAAAAACATGCATAACAGTCTAGTGCTCATCTTTACGAGATACATTTGCCATGGAATTCCATCGTCAACCCTGATTCACCGGAATTTTCTTAGGCCAGATCTTTAAGTTGGTTGGCCATGGAAGGAGTAAAGTGCCATTGACTGAATCTTAAGTTCGCTGAACAGTGTCACTGATTGGACCTAATCGAAATAAACTTGAAGATTTAGGCTATAAACTTTTTAAAATTAAGAGTTTAAAGTACAAAGTATCCGGAATACAAATTTAAGATACAAAGTGAAAAAATGATAAAAGTTTAAGGGTATAAAGAGAAATTAGTCCAATTAGGATTAACCCTTAAGCAAGGACCAACGCTCATCAGATTAATGACTTCCTTGGATCTTGTTTCATTTTCCTTGTCATTTTACGCACCAAGCCTGGCAAATTTTAGTAAAAGAATTTTTTTATATGAAATTCGTTTAAACCGTTTTAGTATTTTGTTAAATAAATTTTTTCATCCTTTAATTTTTAAATAATAACTTTATATCTCTTGAAGTATTGAAAGGTAGCCTCTAACTAGCATCTATTATCGTTCCTCTAACTTCTATGCCTTGCTACCTGATACGGATAGTACGGCGTATAATGATAATAATAATAACTACTCCTATTAATTTTTACTGCACCAATTTTAAAATTTTTTGTAATGTAAAACTTTACATCGAGATGCACATTAAAGACATACATTTTATGATCACCTGACTTGTGGTACCTCGCACATTAAAGCACCTACTTTATTATCTGTAGCCAGCTATGATCCAATGGAATTAATATAGAATCCTTTTCCACCAATTAAATATCACAAGACTTCAAGTATGGTTAGCCTCTCACTCTCATCGACTGTGTGATTGATGCACACAGATATTTGACATATGAAAGAGGGGTCTCTCTTAGTAGTAATATTTATTTTGTAACTTTTATTGATGATTTTGTCAGAAAAATTTTGTGTTTTGTTTTGAAATCTAAATATCAGGTTTCATATATGTTCAAAGATTTTCGTAGCAAAGTTGAGAGGGGCACTAACAATTTCTTGAGATATTTTTCCCTATCAATTGATAGTTATGTGATATTCAATGATGGAGCCAAGGGGGGCAGAGGGGGCCATGGCCCCCCCTAAGTTTTGAGAATTTTAATTCATAATATGTAAATATATGTGTAAAATAAAATTGGCCCCCCCAAATTTTTACAATTTTAGTGAGAGTTGATATATATATATATATATATATATATATATATATATGAATTAGTCATCTTTGAATGGAATGGCTTGCAAGCTTTTAATTTGACATGAATGTCCATTTGCCTATTACATTCATTGTTTGGCTCATAGGTTTCAACTTGCTTTATTTGCAGCTTCTAGAGAAGTAGCTTCTGTTCACCAATTCTTCTCCAATTTAGTTTTCATTATCAGCATTGTTACTGCATCTAGCAAACGTAATGACGAATTAAAGAAGGTTCAAGCAATTGAAGTTGCTACTAAGATTGCTAATGGTGAACTTGAAACTGGAAGGGGGATTAATCAAATTGGCACTTTAAAACGAGTTGGAGATACTCGTTGGGGTTCTCATTTGGATTCTATTTCTAGTTTACTGAAAATGTTCAATGCTACTTGTGTGGTTTTAAGTAACATTGCAGTAGATGAAAATCCATACTCTCAACGTTTGTTTTCACTTTGCATCTTATGAAAGACATTATGGAAGTTACTCATCTTCTTTGTATAGCATTGCAACGTAAATCTCAAGATATTTTGAATGCAATGCATCTTGTCCCAAGCACAACAAAGCTACTGAAGAATTTTCGAGATTCGGGATGGGATGATTTCTTGGTGAAAGTTAAATTATTTTGTAAGCAACATCAAATTGACATCCCATGTATGAATGCTCAATATATTGCAAGATGTGGTAGATCTCGAAGTAATCATGATGAGATTAGTGTGGAGCATTATTATCGAGTGGATATATTTCTTGCAACAATTAATTATCAATTGCAAAAGTTACATAGCAGGTTTAATGATTATATCGTGGAATTGTTTGTTTTGATTACTGCTTTAGATCCTAGAAATGGATTTATGCTATTCAAGATTGATGATATTTGTAAACTTGCAGAGAAGTTCTATCCGAATGATTTTATAGAGTAAGAACTAGTACATCTAAGAATAGAACTTCAACATTTTGAGCTCGACATTCCAAATCATCCTGAATTGCAAGAATTATATTAATGAGTTATGTCAAGACTTGGTGAAGACAAGAAAATTAGTGATATATCCTTTTATTAATAGATTGATTAGACTTGTTCTTACTCTTTCTGTATCAATTACAACTACAGAGCGGGCATTTTCAATTATGAAAATAATCAAGACAAAGCTCCAAAACAATATGGAAGATAATTTCTTCAATGATTGTCTAATTGTGTATATAGAAAAGGAAGTTGCTGAAAAATTTAGCAGTGATTCAATCATAGATGAATTTAGTTCTATGAAAGAGCGTAGAGCTCAATTTACTTCTAAAAAAAGATGTTGAAATTTCAAAGTATGTTAACATAACTTTTATCTTTTTTCAATTGAAAATAGTTACATTTATATTACATGGTTATATATATATATTGCATAGGTGACATATTGGAGAGCAACTTCTTATAATGTGCAAATTGGATGGTTTGTGATGTTATAAAATATTTAATCAAAGGTTATCTTTTTTGTTAATTTTTGTTATGACTGTACCGCATATTTATGAATAGACGTACCTTTATAATTAAATTTAATATTTGATATTTTTAGATGTCATATATTTAAATAGAAGAAAATTATTTTGAACATAATATATTAAGATAATTTTATTAGGAGAAAATTTTGGCCCCCCTAAAAAAAAATCCTGGCTCCGTCACTGGTGATATTAGCTCGTTAGGACTCCTAAGAAACAAAGGCGGAACAAGTTTACTATTTTTTTTTTTATTTTTTCATATATCGAATGCAAAATCAAGGTGGAGATGTGTTAGCATTAAATAACATGCAAGTGGCTTTCCATCCTCCGTGTCTTTTGGTCAGATGCAATGGGGTAAGAAGCTAAATTTCTACCGTCCTACAGTCGTACTAGTATGAAGGCCAAGTTTTGTTTTCCTTTGAAGTCGAAAATCAGCAATAATCTTGGTTCATATACTGTACAAATTTCAGTCGCAATTTTGCCTATATAAAGAGGGACTTTCAAAAGCCTTGGATTGCACCACACTACATTGCTTAAACGTCGAGAGACAGAGAGCTCAGGGAGATTTTTCCATTTGTCTAAATTTATTTATATTTATTTTTTGTATTGCCTCTTTCCTGTTTTGGAATTGGTCCTAAACTTTGAATGCTTCTTTATTGGAATTTGCTCACCTCCTCCTGCCGTAGACATAGATTTAATTGACTGAACCACGTAAATTTTTATGTCATCATCTTTTATTATTTTCTTCACATTTTATTATAATTCTCGTTATTATTTTTGTGGGTTATCAAATTAACTTTTCGTAACAATCCAGGCTGGATTCTAACACGTGAAATGTCGAATACCCGTAAAATGATATCTTCAACTGAAGCGGAGCAAAAAGATGATCACTTTAAAGAGTTTTTCCAGAGGTTGCAACCAAAGAAGCTTGTAGAAGGGGAGCTGCTGGCTAATTACCAAGGCATTTGGTTTGTTGCAGATTTACTTCGAGCTACACTAACCTTTCAAAAGCACTTCAAAGCCAATGACTCTGACATTTTTTTGGCCACCATGGCAAAATCAGGAACCACATGGCTGAAAGCCCTCGCCTTCAGTATTGTTAACCGTAACAATCATTCAGTTGATGAGAGCCCTTTGCTCTTCTCCAACCCTCATTATCTGGTTCCTTTTCTCGAGATGCATCTGTACAAGGATGGTAATATTCCTGATATAGATGCTATGCCTTGCCCGCGAATCCTTGCGACTCACCTACCTTATCAATTGCTTCCAAGCACCATTTTGGATTGTTCCAACAGTCGAATCATCTACCTTTGCCGAAACCCTTTGGATGTATTCACCTCTACGCGGCACTTTGTGCTGCAAAATGGTTTTGCATCAAGGCCATCGGCGTCTCTTGATGTACCTTTTGAAACATTTTGTCAGGGCATATACCCGTATGGTCCATTCTGGGACCATTGTTTGGGATATTGGAATGCAAGCTTGAAGGACCCTCAAAAAGTGTTGTTTTTGAAGTATGAGGATCTAAAAAAGGATATCAATAGCTCCGTGAAGAAGATAGCTGACTTCTTAGGATATCCACTTTCAGCTGAGGAAGAGGAAGCAGGTTTGGTTGAAGAGATAGCAACGCTTTGTAGCTTCGAAAATCTTATGAATTTGAACTGTAACAAAGAGGGGGAGATACAAACTGTTTTTAGAGCTAAGCATAATTCCTTTTTCAGGAAAGGAGAAGTCGGTGATTGGGTGAATTTGGTTCCTCCATCCATGGCCAACCGACTCGAAAAACTGATGCAAGAAAAGTTTGGTGAATCAGGGTTGACACTGGATATCCATGGCAATTCTGTCTGAAGAAGATGAATGTTGGATAGGACGGATCCAAGTTTCAACAGTTTTTCCTCAAAAAACAAAGAAAACAAAATAAAAGGCCTAATTCAGTTACGTTCAAATTGTTTGTTGCTTCAATTACAATCATAAACCCAAGTTTGTAATAATTCAATGTGTGTGTTTGTTGCTTATTGTAAGACCGAAATTATCAGTTTTGGACAATGTTAGTATATATCTACGCACATGCGAGTTTTTTTCAAGTAGTTATTTACTAAAATGGCTTGCCACCTTTTTTCCGGTTTGTAATATCTCAAATTCCTGATTTAAGGAATTAAATCAGAAATTAATTGAATGTTTACATAATTGGAATTAATTACAATTAATTGACCTAATTATTACCTGAGCAACCATTATCACATTTATGCCCCATGTTCAGCCGATTACCCTAAACAACTATCACCATAGTTGTGCTTCCATGTTCAGCCGATAGCCTTTCTTCGTTTTTTGTTTCACCTCTTTGGTTTTATTATGGCTATTAAATATTATGGGATTTAATAAAAGATTTAGACATGTAGAGATTAGAGTTTGATAAGAAGAATGGCATTTCTTTCCAAGGACACGCGAAAAGAAAGGGATATACCAGCAACTTATTGTTCATAGCTTCATATTGCCCAACTTGCTGGCTTCTCGAACTAGATAATTAATTTGTAGGAGAAGTTATCATAAATGAAAAAAAAAAACATTTACATGTTCTTGTTGAATGGCAGACTTGATTAAGGTAGTTTTGTGATCCAAAAGTTGCACGAAGCCGGTAAAAGCATGGATGATCTTTCTTTTTGACCTTTCAAACAAAAAGCTGGTCCATGATATGGTGACCCAAATTCTTTTGGACGCTAGACATAATGAAAAGTTGAAAACATCCACTTGGAGTTGCTCTGACTGGTGACAGTTGGTGTTCCACCCAATAAAACAATTATCTCAATCCACATTCGATACGAACAAAAAAGTAGACTAATCAAAGGAATTGAAAAAAAGGATTAAATTCTTCATTAAATTGTAGATCGAAAGTTTGAATCTCATTTATAGTGAAAAAAAATTTAAAAATGAGTTAGAACATTTTTTTAATTTAGTCAGGTCTGTAAATTTGTTAATTCAATTTACAGTCTAATAAAATAGATTATGTTGTATAAATAGTATCGTTCAAAAAAAAAAAAGAATTAAAGATGGGGGTGTTAAATAAGTAGTGCTCCCTACTCCATCCTAGTAAGAAATTAAACTTGGCATACAGGGGTATTACATTAATTAGCATTTGATACCTTCCTAGGAAAAAGAGGCAAGCATATATTCTCTTCACATGCTTGTTTCTTGGTGGGAAACCTTTTTTTAGAAAAAAATTTTATTAAATGTCAGATGAATGTGTAAAATATAAAATTAAATTGGTATAAATCATTTTTTTTAAAAAAATTGAATGATAAATGGAGCGGGGTGGGTACCCGGTAACCCGACCTTATCTCAGCGGATACTCGATTATAGGGTACCCGCTGATATGCGGGGCGGGTAAGGGTCAGAAAACGGCTTACCCGCAAGGCGCGGGTCGGATCAGCCAAATGGTGAATGGGTTGGATACCCGACCCGCGTCCACCCCTAACTGCTACTGACGAACTTGAGCAAGAGATGTTGTCAACTTCACCATCACCACCACAAGATGAGTCTAGAAGATCTACCAGAAAGAGGAGACATTCTAGTAGATATAATCCTAATGAGTATGTGTTGCTAATATATGGAGAGGAACCTGAGTTCTACAATGAGGTTCTAGAGTACGAGAGAAAAGAAGATTGGTTGGAAACTATGCAAGAGGAGATAATGTCCTTACATAAGAATCACACCTATGACCTGATGAAATTGGCTACGAGCAAGAGAGCACTAAAAATGGAATAGATTTTTAAGTTGAGGACTCAAGAGCACAACTCACTACTAAAGTAGAAGGCAAGATTGGTTGTGAACAAATTCAGTAAGAAGGGTGATTTGAAACGCGATTGAGATGAAATTTTATCAGTTTGCGCGTACATTGCTTTTGTTTGGGAGGCAAGTTTTTTTGGCCTATTTTTAATACACAAAATTTTTTTATAACTTTGTCTCTAATAACTTTCTAAAACACTCTACGATTTTTCAAAATATACACCCCAAAAAGTCAAAAATACACAAAGTTTTTTCTTTCTTTTCTCTTTTCTTCTTCTTCCTCCGTCGTTTCAACCCATCATTATCGGCTGGCATTCCGCAAGCACCCTTCTTCGCCCTCCCCCCCTCCCCCAACACCATTTTTTTCTCTCACCCTATCTCTTGTCCTTCCGCTTTTCCTTCCTTCTTTCTTCCTCCCTCACTCCTCCTCTCCTCTCCTTTCCCCCCTCCTTCTCTTCCCTCTCTCCCTCACCTCACCCCTATTTCTCACAAATTCATAGATGCTGTGATTTTTGTCACAGACACAATCTAAATGTCTAAAGTTTTAATAAATCGAGAAAGTTTTCACCCTTTGAGATTTTAAGGGATAATATTATCCAAAATTTAATGATAAACTTAAGATGAAATTGAGAGATTTATTTATATTAGAAGGCTATTAATGATTTGTAGACTTCTATGACCCTTAAAATTACAGTGTATATAATATTTTGATACATAAATGTGCCCTAACTCTTAATACCTCGGCCAAATTACACAAACAATGACGACACAGATAACTTAAAAATAAAGATTTAATATAGAATTTTAGTATATTTAAAAAACTTCAACTTATCTCAGGTCAACTAATTCGTTTCACAATGACTTTTCTTCACTAACCAAATGCCACGAGAAATATCCATCTTTTATCACAAGGATAGTCTTTTGCATAATTGGAATATTGAAAAATCACATAATTTTCAAACCATCCTTAGCATTATTATGGGATCATGTAATTCTAATGCTCGACTCAAACTCGATTAATAGAGCTGTGAAGCTAGTACCACCCATTTGTTGGAATTTTTTTGCTTTGGCACTATTATTAGTTATCCATAAAACTCTATAATGGTGTGTTCCATAGCGAGATAGACACATCCTAGATTACAATTTTTTTAATTTTGATTAAAAGATATTTTCACGAGCACTTCAGGTTTTTTGCCTCTTTTTTCTGAGTTATAGTCCGGCAAATAGCTTCCAAATTCGATTAATTTTCATATGGACTAACCAACGTAGTTCCTTTTCATTTTTCTTGTTCCTTTTTTTTTTTTTGAGAGAAGAGGGGGGGGGGAGTGTTCGGAAGACCGGGCCATATTTAGACTGACACATTATAAATGGTGTCCAGATGTATAGGTAGCTCAATAATTGACAAAGCAACTGAATGCAAGTCACCTTCTCTTGTCTGCAACAAAGTCGGCAATAAATAATCCTTAAAAAACAGTAAGGATGATTGACAAAAAAGAAACAAAAAAGTGGCTATAAATACTAAATATTGTAGCAGTAACAAGTTTAATTTGATTCAGAGTTTCAGATGATTGAGACATAGGGATGGTAATGAGGCAGGTGGCTCTGTTTTTAAACTCGGTTCGGACCGGCTGATCCGACTAGTTGAATCGGGAATGTGTCAATTGTTCGGTCTGAGTTAATCCTAAAAATTGGACAATAAAAAATTCTGTCAAATCATGTCAAAAATCGAGTTTGACTGGAAAATATAAACCAAGTCTCTTTTTTTTTTGAAATGTCAAAATATTTTTAATATTATGTTTTGACCCCTAAGTTATTAAAATTTTTTAATATACTTCAAATATTTCATATTTTATAAATGTTGTCTTAAATTTTGGTGTTATTTTTCAATTAAATCCATAATTTTAATTCTAAATTTGTTAATGCTCATTAAATAATATAAATTGCTACTTGATTGATCTAATTTATTTGTATTTTTCTGTTAAATATATTTGAGACATCAAATATATATAAATATACCTTTATTAATATTAACATGTTATTAGGTATTTTACATATAATATTTTAATTTTTAAATAACTTTTATTTATGACATCATCCGATTCAATCCCGATAGAATCTGGTTGAACCTATTAACCCCTAACCTCTGAACTCGATCGAGTCGATACTCGGTCTAGTTCTGAAAACATAGGCTACAGGCACCCATCTCACTGGGGGCTAATGGAGCAGGGGGATGGAGCGCCCCACTTAGAAATGGGGGGGGGGGGGCGGGGACATGCTCCCTCGCTCCGCCACCTCGCCCCGCCACCCACTAAAAAAAATAAATGTATAAATAAATATATATATGTATATAATCATATATATAATATTTAATTTAATTAGTTACAAACTTATGATGATGATATTATTAGTTATATGTATTATATAATGCATATTAGTATATATAATATAATTGATATTATTAATTATACTAATAATTATATATGTCTACTAATAGAAATTATTAATTAATTAATTATACTAAATTTACTAATACATTTATACTAAATTCTTAATTACACTTAATACAATAATACTTTTTTCTCAAAAAAAAAATACACAAGTACAATAATGAATTAGTGATTGTATTTGCGCTAAAAGTAAAAACTTGACTACTTTAGTTGTATTTATTCCATTATTGTATTCAAATAACTTTTGTTTGATTGTTTTTATAAGTTTAAATTGTGAAATTATAATAAATAATAACTTGATGATGTGTTAATATTTTAGTATTTATTTATTTGCTAAATTTTGACTATAATAAATTTTTATTAGTTTCGCAAATGCCCTGCGAGAGAAGCAGGGCGGGGTGGGGAAGGGGCTTGGTGTGATTTCCGAGAACGACAAATAAATTTATTCTTATTCTAGGATTGATCCAACCATCAATGTACATAACAATTGAGTTTTGCTATAAAATCATTAATCCAGAGTTCAAAAAAGTAACCAAACATTGGATTACGCTTTGCTTGCAACCTTACTCCATTTCTTTCTTTTATAAAAAGGTCCAACTTTATTTCATTTGATTGTCCGTGATCCCAAGATTTTCAAAAAGTAGGATTATATTTAGAAATTCGAAGACGAAGCTGATATTGGTCTGTTTGGTTAGCCTGATTTGTTTTAAAAAAAAAAGTCAAATATTAGTTAACTTGTACCATAAACATAATTTTCAATCACATTTTTACCTTACACACGTCATACTATAAAAAGTGTTATAGAGTGTTATTCCAAATAATCTCTTATCCAAACACATTATTTGTCGTGGGATGAG